ATTCTGCTCAGAAAACGCCACTTGAAACACAGCAATCAGAAATGGCTGTTCTGCCTTCCCTCTATTGCTGATATGACAAAAACTACAGGTAATTGGACACATGATAAACCGAGATCAGGCAGAGTTGGCGGACCAATTTTCAACATTTTTTCACATATCTGATCAATCTAGGGCCTGAAGAATAAAATATGCAGCAAAATGTATTTTGCATGGCTTTAAAAAAAAAAATTGTGTTTTGTTCAACAGAATGGCCATTGCAAGGGCATCATTATTGCAAAATGTGACTTTTTTTTATATGCATAGCTATTCTGATGATTCTTCTCACAGTGGCCATTTTACAGAGGGCAGATAAATCCATTTCCCTTTACTTCCTGGAACTCTGGCACATGTGACTTGGACATGTAACCATGCCATCATCTCAGGGGAAGAAAATGTATTTCCCTGAGATCTCGTGAGATTACAGATGAGATTTCCCATCTGCTGATGTAACCTACCCAGGATGTTACGCTTGGGCACATTACATCACTAATGCCCAAGAGGACCAGTAAGTGAAAAAAGAATTGTATGTAAAAGAAAAATATGTTTCTTTAACTAATGAATGTAAGATTTCATATCGGCATGTAGAGATGTATTCTGATGTGATTTTTAGTGAAAGGGGGTAAAGGTTTGCGTCAAGTAGTTAATGTCATGTTTAACTACCAAGTTGTCACTGTTTACACAGTGGTGCCTAGCTAATGATCAGATATTTACAATCATTATTCAAAGGGTTATTGGAGTACATAAATAGTTAATCAGTAAGGCCCCACTCCAAGCTCTTTGCCTGGACACAATGCAGGTGTCGGTTGGGAGCCGCTGATGTTCCTTAGTTGCACTATCCAAGAAAATACAGCACACACTTAACTTTACCATCTTGAGGATAACCATCTTGAGCCATGTGACTGTAATTTTATATCTCATTGGACTTCGCTCAGAATAACTTTTTTTTTTTAAATAAGGATCCTTATCCTGGTGTTTTATTGTATATATGCTTATGGCGTGCAAAGATTGAGCTGTACGTGGCTAATGGTGCTTGTTTATGAGGTTAAGGTTCTTATGCCCTGTCAAATAATGATATAAGGAAAGCTTGTTGATAACCGAGACTGGGAAGAAACTGCTTGCATGATATATAGCTAGAATCTCCCAGTGACAGATCCATTGTCAGAATGTATCAGTATTTCAGGATATTCATTTCCTCAGTCATAAGTTATCCAGGATCATTGGAGCAGTTTTCTCATTTATTACACTGGAGGGTGGTCTAGGCATACCAGCATGTGTTATATTGCAGACACATCTACTGGAGAGGAAACCTGGTCCAGCTTCCTCCTCTGAGAGTGTGAGGAAATGACCTTTTTCATGGGGTTGAACACAGGTCTTCAGAGACTTTAATACAGAAAAGCAGGAATTTGGGTTGTGCAGTTATCAAAGACCCATACTACAGCTTGCTGTGAGTAGAATATTTTGTGCGGTGTTTGTGTGTATGTATGATGGGCCAGGGTATTGTATGCTACCTAGCTTCTTTAGGTCCCATTCACACCAGGGTGGATGCGTTTCAGCGCAAATTTTAAAAGGGTGTTTTGGGGCGTTTTTAATCACGTTTTAGCGCTCAAACGCAATTAAAAACGGCCAAAAACATGCTGATCCGCACATTTCCATTGAAATCTATAGGGAATTCACGCTGATCAGCGCAAAAAAATAGCTCAAGGAGCATTTTGTCTGGTTCGATTGCGTGGAGCCGTGCGATCGCATGAATGTTCCCCATAGGAATGTATAGGATCTGCGCGACCAAACTGCCCTGGTGTGAACGGGGCCTTACGCCAGCTCTAATTCATCAGTGTTTTCATTGTCTTTTAAAAAATTTTTTTTTTTACCCTCAACAAGATGCTTCTAGAGTGAAGGATTTTTAATTCAGACACTGGAATCAGGGAAATGACAAAGCTCGAGTAGAGGTATCAGTAAGAGTAGAGTTACTCGCAGTGATTTTTTTAATCCCAGAGACTGAAAATATCTAGTAGTACAATAATTTCTATTAGTATATAGTTCTACTGTAGGGCATTGCTGGTAGATTGGGAGAATAATCTCACAGGGTATATTTGAATGGAGACGAAAGAGTATTTTAAATGTGCTATCTGTTGAGCAAGTGATCGTCTTTTGAAGTCCGTGAAGCACCGTAGAAGAAAGGTGATGAATCTCTAATAGTTTCTTTTTGGCAATTTAATTTGCATCATTGAACAATTGTAGGAGAACAATCATCTATAAATCTTTGTGGTACCTCACATTTAATGTAATGCACACAATGAGAATAATATCAGGGAAATTTTAGTAGGATTGACCTGCTTGAAGAGGAACTGTCATGTCACATATTGTGAAGTGGCGATGTCTTTGTAAAGGTCCCCAACTCCCCTCATGCTCAGCTTGCCAGCTCTCCATTGCATCTCTTGCCTCCACAGCCAGCGATGACTCCTGATGCTTCCAGATATGGTGGAGCATATCTTCTTCTCCCCTGTGATAGTTATTGGTAGTGATGGGCAGGGGCTTGTTGCAAACCCAGTTTCTGAGTTCACCTAAGCCTGCACAAAACTGTAACTGACACGCACGCACCCCTCCCAGCTAATCACTTGCGGCAGGGGAATTCCCCGCTCTGCAGCTACACGTCACAAAGGGGCGGAGAAACCCTCTGCCACAGCTACCGCAACTCATGACACCTGGAGGGGGATATGTTGATCACAGTTTTCCGTTGGCTTGGACAAATTTTGGGGAACTGAGCTGGCACGTCAGAGCCAACTAGAATAATAAATTAAATGGATGTGCTTAATTTAACAATAAACTGTGAACAGTGACATATCATGAATCAATCAACAATAGATCGGTGTGGATCAGTGTACCCAAAATTGTTATAAAAGATATAGATTCATATATACCATCAATATTTGTGAAAATAAAAATTAAACTGTGTTATGTGTCTTTTTTTTTCTTAAAACACAACTACCCTGGACATACAATCCCCCAGGGTCCTTGGAGTGATTAGTGTTGGTGTGAAAAAAACCCTGTAAATAGCGATAAAGTGTTCCAGGTGCACAAAGCTTGTAAGTTGATGTGAAGGTTCCGTGAAGATTGTTGGGGATGTGGGCTAGTGCCGTACGTATCCCCTCAGAGTGTGCACTCACCGTGATGTAGTGGCTTTGGTAAGCAGCCAGAAGCGTTTAAATGAAAGCTCCCGGAGCCGCGGCATCCTCTCCGTGTCTCTCAACGATCAGTGACCAGCAAGCGGTTTGTTAGGAATGTTCTGGGTAACGGACGGCGTTCAGTCAGCTTCTCCCACTCCCCCCTCACCTGTGATCTGGGTGTTCCTCTATCCCTCAGAGGGATAACTGCTTGCTGGTCACTGATCGTTGAGAGACACGGTGAGGACGCCGCGGCTCCGGGAGCTTTCATTTAAACGCTTTCTGGCTGCTTACCACAGCCACTACATCACGGTGAGTGCACACTCTGAGGGGATACGTACGGCACTAGCCCACATCCCCAACAATCTTCACGGAACCTTCACATAAACTTACAAGCTTTGTGCACCTGGAACACTTTATAGCTATTTACAGTTTTTTTTTCACACCAACACTAATCACTCCAAGGACCCTGGGGGATTGTATGTCCAGGGTATTTGTGTTTTATAAGAAAAAAAACACATACCACAGTTTTAATTGTTATATTTACTTTTTATTTTCACAAATATTGATGGTATATATGAATGTAATATATTTTATAACAATTATGGGTACACTGATCCACACCGATCTATTGTTGATTGTTGACTGTTCACAGTTTATTGTTAAATTAAGCACATCCATTTAATTTGTTTATTATTCTTGTTGGCGCTGCATAGTTGGAAACTCATATGATTTGACCCAGGTGTCTTTATTGCTGCAGCCTTCAATTAATTTATTTGACTATTTCATTATAGCACAATTTTTAGGACACAGAATTTTTGTTTCGCATATGCAGCGCAGAATCAATAAACACATACCCCGCACATCAGATGTTGCAGGCAATTTCTCAGGCGAAGGACTGTCGCATGACCTAGAGAGATACATGGCATCCGACAACATCAAACACTTGAGATTTTAGTGCTGACTGCGACCCAAGAGGTGAGTATCATGGTTTCGGGTGACACTAAACTCTGGCGTTAAATCTGAACAATGCATTCATGTACCCTAACTATTAACCAAAATGTATATTATTTGTATATAACTCAGATCCTCCAATCATCTCTGAATTGGTGCTGACCCTTTCTAGCCTTCTGGAGAGCTACTTTTGTTCCTCATGGTCCCTCTGTGTGTTGTAAAGTAGCCACCGTTCCAAGTTCACTCCTGTCATGGAGTAAAATTTAGCTAACTAAATGAGTGTGAGAGATGGTTTTAAAGGCCAGGTTAACCTTTCTGACCATGTTTCATGTTACACCCATATTTACGGTGTAACATGAAACATGGTCAGATCGCAACCCCCACCTACTGATCACGGTGGCAGTGCTTTACTGGCTCCTAGGCAAGTTGGTACTTTGAGCAAGGGTACCTTCACATCAAGCTAGAGAGTGCAGCATATTATCCCCATTGGTGCTTTCTTTCCAGCCTCTTTCTCCCTGGATATTGAAAGTAATATTTTTTTGCCAAAGTTCCACACATATTGTTTCCTTATGATTTTAGGGTTTTATTTGTGAAGTTCCCATATATCCTTTTTATAATGTTGGATTTTTATTCTTTCACATACGGGGTAAATGTCCTACCATTGGTCAATACAGTAGCACCTGATTGGCTCACAGTGTGGTCCTTCCCTCTCCAAAACCTGGTGTGTAGAAGAAAATGGGAATCTGATGTAATGGCAGATTTTAGGGCGTTTATACTAGCAGCAATTAAAATATGTACTTTTATTAATTTTTGTTTTCATGTTCTATACCTTTTTTCTATTAACAGAGGTCCTAGAGGATGACCGAGTACAAGCTGGTGGTGGTGGGTGCAGGAGGCGTTGGTAAAAGTGCCTTGACCATACAACTTATACAGAACCATTTTGTGGATGAATATGATCCAACTATAGAGGTAAGAGCGTCAACTGTACAGTAATTTGTCACTAGTCTATGCTTTTTAATCATCGCTCACTTACAAGAGTTGTAAATGGTATCCATGGCCCTTTTCAATTTGTAAATATAGGACCATACGTAGTGTTATTGACTTTGTGTCTTTCTAAACTGGTACATGATGCTTCTGCTCTTGTCAGACACATGTCCTAACCACTGAGTTATGGCTTCCAGTGCTTATTTGACTATGGACTTGAGAAAGTTATTTAATGTAGAAAAAAATCGCTACATAAATTAACTACAGCTAGTCAATGAAAGGAAACCAGGACAATTTGGTTCATGCGTTTAATCTGATGTTATATGCAGTGCTGCACAAACATTTTATACAGGTACGAAAAAAATCCTGTAAAGTAAGAATGCTTTCAAAAAATTATATTTTTGTTTATTTTTATCAATTTACAAAATGCAAAGTGAGTTAACAGAAGAAAAATCTAAATCATATCAATATTTGGTGTAACTACCCTTTTTGGCTTCAAACCAGCATGAATTCTTGCACCTGCACAAAGTCAGGGATTTTGTACGATTAGAGTCAGGTGTACGTTTAACCAATTATACCAAGCAGGTGCTAATCATCAATTTCATAGGTAGGTTGAAACATAGTCATTAACAGAAACGGGAGTGTAGGAGGCTTAAAACTGGGTGAGGAACAGCCAAACTCTGCTACTAAGGCGAGGTTGTGGAAGACCGTTTCATGTCACAGGTCATACACCATGTCAAAACTGAGCACAGTAACAAGACACAAGGTAGTTATACTGTATCAGCAAGGTCTTTCCCAGGCAAAGATTTCAAAGTAGACTGGGGTTTCAAGTTGTGCTGTTCAAACTGTTTTAAAGAAGTACAAAGAGACAGGTAATGTTGGGGACCATAGATGCAGTGGTCGGCCAATGAAACTTAATTCAGTAGATTAAAGACACATCATGCTCACTTCCCTTCGACATTGGAATATGTCCAGCAGTGCCATCAGCAAAGAATTGGTGGAACCCAAGTACACCCATCAACTGTCCGGAGAAGTCTGGCCAGAAGTGGTCTTTGTGGAAGATTTGCAGCCAAAAAGGCCATACCTGTGACGTGGAAACAAGGCTAAGCGCCACAACTATATGCGAAAACATAGGAACTGGGGTGCAGAAAAACGGCAGCAGGTGCTCTGGACTGATGAGTCAAAATGTAAAATATATGGCTGTAGTAGGAGGCAGTTTGTTCACTGAAGGGCTGGAGAGCGGTACAATGAGTGTCTGCAGGCAACAGTGAAGCATGGTGGAGGTTTCTTGCAAGTCCGGGGCAGCATTTCTGCAAGTTGGGAGGATTGATGGTGTCCTAAATGCTGACAAATATATGCAGATACTTATCCATCATGCCATACCATCAGGGAGGCGTGTGAGTGGCCCCAAATTTATTCTGTAGCAGAACAACGATCCCAAACATACAGCCAATGTCATTAAGAACTATCTTCAGCATAAAGAAGAACAAAGGAGTCTTGGAAGTAATGGTTTGGCCCCCACAGAGCCCTGATCTCAACATTGAGTCTGTCTGGTATTTATATGAAGAGAAAGAAGGATTTGAGGCAGCCTACATCCACAGAAGATCTGTGGTTAGTTCTCCAAGATGTTTGGAACAATTTACCCACCAAGCTCCTTCAAAACCTTTTGCAGGCAAAGGGTGGTCACACCAAATATTGATTTTGAATTGGATTTCTCTTGTTCGTTTACTTTCCATTTTGATGATAAATAAACTATTAACACTTTTATTTCTGAATGCATTCTTACTTTACAGCATTTTTTCACAACTGCCTAAAACTTTTGAACACATTTGTTACATCCTTTTTATTTCTTGTAATTTACTTTAATAGGTAAAAAGCATTTTTTTTAAACCTACCATTTTCTCTAATATCATGTGACCTCAAAACCTCAACTCATGTGACTTTACCTTATATGTATCGATGGACCATTTACTTCTAGCAGTTTTTTTCATCAATTTCAGCGCACTCTGATCTTGCCGGAGCACATAGATGCTGACATGCAGTTATTTCACCCCCCTATAAAGCAGACCTGTTAGATAATTTGCATACTGGGAAACCTCTGGTCCTGGTGAGCAGGAAGATGGCTTGAATTAAAAGCATTTACAATTTTAAGCATTTTTGTTGTCTGCTATATTACATATAACATTGTCTGTTATTTCTAAAAAAACATATACAGGTGAAACTCGAATAATTCGAATATCGTGCAAAGTTCATTTATTTCACTAATGCAACATAAAAGGTGAAACTAATATATGAGATATACTCATTACATGCAAAGCAAGATAATTCAAGCCGTGATTTGTCATAATTGTGATGATTATGGCTTACAGCTCATGAAAACCCCAAGAACCCCAAATCCACAACCTAAAAAAAGTAGATTATTACATGCAATCGATAAAACAAGGATTGTACATAGAACAATATCGGACCTCTGAAAAGTACAAGCATGCATATGTACTCAGTACTTGGTTTGGGCCCCTTTTGCAGCACTTACTGCAATTACTTTTGCACGATATTCTAATTATTCGAGTTTCACCTGTAGAAATATTGTTTTGTAGGTTATTTTTTGTCATAATGAATTTTCTGAGACTTTACTCTGTAAAAATGCACTGGCAGTAAAGAGATATTAAGGGCTTTGAGTGGGTTTTTACTTATTCGTTCCTAGAAGTCCAAGTGACTGCTAATTGAGAAATGTGTTAACTAAATTAATGTTTTATGATGATGCAGGAAGAGGTTGATGGGGAAAACAGGCCGACATTTGTAGCATGCCAAATGAACCCTGAACAGAGTGGAGTGGAACTACCCTGTATGTTTAACTTTCCTAGCCTTTGGGGATTCACAAAGATGCTCAAGGCTATGTGGTAGCAAGCTTTAGGTAAACTGTAACATATGTGGCTTTATTAAAGCTGAACTCCCGGATTCAAGTAAAGAAAAACATTTAGCAGTGGTGTTAACTAGATCTATAAGCTGCTACTCGGTTATTCAAAAAAAAAAACCCTCACCCTTTTGCTGATAAATCACATGAAATATCCGTGTCATCCATGCTGCAATTATTAACTTCACCTGGGTGCCTCGAGGAGGTGTAATGCTGCCATATAAGTCATGTCCTCTCCTCTCACATCGTGTCTCCTTGGAACTAGATTTCCCATAATTCCATGGGAATTGTAGTGAATGGGCATCAATGTTGGCAGGATTGTGTGTGGGGGGGTATATTGCGCTTGTAAACATTGCCAGTCAATGGGCTTTTGTAAGCCAGCCTCAAGTATAGCCCCTCCTCTACCCAGCGTACCTCAGTTGTTTGCTAGTGTCCTAGGAGGACTAACAGGGCTATTCACAAAAGGGTGAAGAGTTTGGAGAAGGCAGGAGAAATTAACAATCTGGGACAACATATCTGAACTGGAAAGTGAGCTGAATTGGAGAATTTTTCCAAATCCGCTATTTTGGTCTAGATTGTTCACTTCTCCTGCCTTCTCCAAACTCTCTTCACCCTTTTGTGAATAACCCTGTAAAACATTCTCTTCAACATCTCTAAAGAAAGCCTAATTAATCCTTTTTTTTTTGCTGGCTTTTTTTCTGGTGACTTTCTTGCCTTTTTTTTGGTGAGTTCCATCAAGAGTTCCTGCTGCTCTGTTGCTTGAGCTTGTCTCGAGATAGCAGCTGTCCGGAACAGCATAATCTCTGCAATAGCCGTAGACGCTGCTGGAATGGATGGTTGTGTGGCTTGCCTGGAATTTGTCTTTTGGGCACTGGGCTCTGCTTTTTGGTGCTTTCCAGACTTTAGTGTATAGGTTAGTTAACCATGGAGCATTCCAGGTCCAGACCTGTGGAAGAGCTTTAGGTGTGACCTGGCGCTGAAGACTAAGTTTATGGGTAGGCCTCTGGATGATGCACAAATGACCTGGCCTGAGCCCTGTGTGGGCTCTGCATTGTAGTGCTTTTTAGACTTTTCTGTATTGTATTAGCCACGGAGCACTTTCCAGGTCTGGAGCCATGGCACAACCCGTGGTGTGAGCCTGTTTCGCTTCCATTGCTCGCCTACAGTGACTTGGTCACCTCGGGCCATCTGAACACCCTAGCCACTAGTTGCCTGGGTTTGTGAGTATCGGAGTCTCCACCTCTTGGCTTAGTTGCATACCCTTGCGTGGAAGCAATATGTCATCCATCCCTAAGATGCACATAAGACAGTCCCGCTGCCACAGGTGACCTCTGCTCATAGTCCCATAATAGAAGTTCTAGGGGTGTTTATCAGGTATCCCCAAAAGAAACCAATGTCCATATTCCAGAACCTGTGGTGCCTATTTTTTATTATTATTATAATTCGTAGCATTGGTTTGCCCTCATCAGAGTCTACTTTACCTCCAGAGGGTATGGCCACAGGGGACTTTCATGTCTTTTCTGGGTCAGTTATTGGGGTACGATGCCCATAGAGACACAAAGTGCACCCTGGGGCACCGCCTGTAGAGTTTCTATCAGACCCCACAGACGGGTGAGTGAGCATTGTCACTCTGTCAGGAAGTATGTTACTGGCAGGTGAAAACAATAGGAAACTAAATGCAGCCTTGCCATCTATGGACTTTTAAGCTGCAATAACTCTTTAAGGGGGTTCTTCACAGTAAGATCAGTTAGGGTCTGGAACTCACTGCCACAGACAGTGATTTCAGCAAAGAATGTGGAATTGTTCAAGAGACTTTTGGACGATTTCTTAAGGGACCGTAATATACAGGGGTGCAGGTACTCCTAGAATGAGATCCTAATAGGTTGGACTTGATGGACTAATGTCTTTATTCAACCTCAAATACTATGTAACTATGTAACTATGTAATATGTCAAATTCTTGGTTTTTCTTTTTTAGAATTTAGATGCATATGAAGGGGGGAGAAAAAGGGAAAACATTTCACTTTAGTTAATGTTCACTAGGTATAGAGGGCCAGACCATTATAAATAGGGAAGCAGGTTGTTTACCACAAAAGAAGTGATTTTTTTTTTTTAATGAAGATATGGGTAAACAATGCGATTTTAACAGCCTTTAAACGTGGGATGATTGTTGGCGCTCGGAGCCATGGAGCGAGTATCCGCAAAACAGCAGAATTCATTAAATGTTCAAGAGCAGCTGTTGTTAAAGTGTTGAATCAGTTTTTATTAGTATTTTTTAACAGGTTCCATAACATTCAGTATCGAAACTCAAGAAGGGTACAAAAAGGACAAACAAGACATCAGGCTACATGAGTGTGCATTGAGCATTGGCGTTCTGGCATGGTCACTCAAGTGTCGGTGACGAAGGCAACTTAAATTCGGTCACACAATATGTAAAGCTAAGGCATCTCTAGGTTATGTATAATTCACCATAGAAAGGAACAACATCACTATGACTATATCTACAGTATAAATCTGGTGGGTGTCACCATTGCGTGTTCAGGCATTGTAGCTCTTGTCAGCACTGCCCGGCACCCTCCCTGAACCCACATGTTAAACATCCTGATATGTTAGGAAAGTTGTAGAAAGGGAGGGGAACGTAAAGAGGGAAATTGGAAGAAAGAGGGAGGGGAGGGGATTAGGGAGGGGTCACGGTTTGCGAACTGAGTTTGTGAATCGTGATTTTTGAGGCGCCCCTTCCACTTCTAGGTTATTGCTTTAGAGGTAGGACTGTAGGTCGGCGGAGGAGTAAAAGTGAATCCACACACTCCATTGGGACATGAACTTCGAAAAGGCATTAGCATCAGTTGTTGTTAAAGTGTTTAAAGACTGGACTGCCAGCCGAAAATCTGGGTCTGATCGTGCGAATTGTGGCCATCAGCAACTAGCCAATGTTAGGGCAGAACGGAGAGTGGCAAGACTGGTACAAGACAACAGAAGGGCAACAGTGCAGTGTCAGATTCCTCGCATCACCTTTCAACATCTCGTGGAGTCACGAGGCGGCCCAACGAAGTACTGATGGGGTGGTCATAATAATCTGGCCACTCAGTGTATTAATGTGTGTGTATATATATCATCGCAAATTACAGTGTGTAAGTATTTTGATCAAATCATTTTTATGCATATTGTCCAACAAGGCTTATTGGATTTAAGCACATCAGGTGATGTGTATTTGTGTAAGAGGGAGAGATTTAACAGACTTTGAAAAGTAAAACATTTTAAAAAGTCTTTCAGAGGGATGTAGCACTCTTGAAATTGCTAAGATTTTGGGGCGTGATCACAGAACCATCAAACGTTTTGTTGCAAATAGTCAACAGGGTCGCAAGAAACATGTTTAGAGAGAAAGACGCAAATTAACTGCCAAAGATTTGAGAAGAATCAAACTTGAAGCTACCAGGAACCCATTATCCTCCAGTGCTGTCACATTGCAGAACTGCAACTTACCTGGAGTGCACAGAAGTACAAGGTTTTCAGTCCTGGCCAAGGTAAGAGAGGCTGAAACCCGGCCACCACTAAACAAGACCCATAAGTTGAAACAACCAGCCGGGGCCAAGAAATATCTGAAGACAGATTGTTCAAAGGTTTTATGGACTGATGAGATGAGTGACTCTTGACAGACCAGATTGGATGTGGCTGGATCAGTAATGGGCACAGAGCTCCACTTCAACTCCAGCAAGGTGGAGGTGGGGTACTAGTATGGGCTGGTATTATTAAAGATGAGCTAGTTGGACCTTTTCGGGTTGAAGATGGACTCAAAATCAACTCCAAAACCTACTGCCACTTTTTAGAAGACCCTTTCTTCAAGCAGTGGTACAGGAAAAAGTCTGCATCTTTCAAGACCATGATATTTATGCAGGACAATGCTCCATTGCATGCATCGAAGTACTCCACTGCGTGTCTGGCCAGTAAAGGCCTTAAAGATGAAAGAATAATTACATGGCCCCCATCCTCACCTGACCTAAACCCTATTGTGAACTTGTGGTCTTAAACGGGAATTTCCAGGGAAGGGAAACAGTGCACCTCTCTGAACAGTGTCTGGAAGGCTGTGGTTTCTTCATCTGTTGACGATCTGTTGCTTCAGAAACTGACTGAAGCTTTTGACTGTTATTGAAAAGAAGGGGGACTATCTTGGTCACTGATTTTTGTTTTTGAAAATGTCATAAGTGTTTATTTGTAAAGTTTTAGTTTTGTTAATTATTCTCACTTTAACAGATGAAAATAAACAAGTGAGATGGGAAAATTTTCCTTTTCCATTTAGTTGCATAATAATCCTGCACACTAATAGTTGCCCAATAATTGTGCACACATAGATGTTCTCCTAAGAAAGCCAAAACCTCACTTTTACTTAAATATTCATATTATAGATTTATTAACATTTTGGATTGACTGAGAGCACTGTAGTTGTTCAGTAGTGAAATGAATCATCAAAAAATACAACTGGCCTAATAATTGTGAACACAGTGTAATAGGATATTTGCCAAACAGGGCATACATTTATATCAGTTTATGAATAACCTTTCATTTAAATTTTTTTTGTTTTAAAAGTCAGCCTTGGATAAATAAGTCTGTACCTAATATTATAACCTTGAAAACCTTTGCAAAGCTATCAATTAGCCTGGAATTTGGTAAATTTAGTATAAGATTATATTACTGTTATACCTAAAGATCACCACCAGGTGTCACTCTGTAACTTGAATAAAAGTCTTGGCAAATCAATAAAAGTTGCAGTTGATTTTTGTTGCTAGAACGATAATGACATTTTAAACAGGTCTTTATTTATTTGTAAAGTACACCAAGGGTTACTACCTTAAATTCTGTGTAAATAGAAGACCCAGTGAAATCTCATATCATTTTAAAGTGTGTCATTTCAAAACATTTTCAAAATTTTGAAATCTACAGATTTCAGTAAAATATAACAATTCTAAAATAAACTTTGTTTTTAACACTCAATCTGTGTATTTTAAATAAAAGATGGTATGTATTTTTATTTTACTTTATCCGATTAATTGAAAAATAATCAGCCAACTAATTGATTATGAAAAAAATCGTTAGTTGCAGTCTTAGTGAATTTTGCTGATGAGCTGGGTATGCCAAAGTCCATGAACTCTTGAAAAGTCCAACTTTACTACATGACCATATGCTCTATCACTACGTTCCTCAGCCTTTTTCAGTCACGGCATCCTTTAAAAGTATGCAAAATTTTGAGGTACCCCAGTCTAAAAAAAAAACAAAAAGTGTCCCAAATCCATACTATATCCTTATTCTAGATTTGTTACTAGCATGGATTCTGAGGGGGGATCCCCATGCAAACAAAATGAGTTAAAAGATGCATGTGGGAGCTGCCCGTTTATATCAGAGTTTGCACCATGGAAATGCACGAAGCGGTGTGAAAAAAATTTCACTGCACCCCTGAGAAAGTCAGATGGTACCCTGATTTGTGGACTAGGTTGCAGTTCGTCACATGACTGCCCACAAGTGGAAAATGTAATTCTGCCATAAACTGTTTTTGCTTTTCAATTGCTGGTAAGGTGCATTAATCTGTCTGGCCATTTTTGTGATCAGAAGCTCGTTAAAATATCCTCAAATCTGCTGTGTGCACGACAAGCAGAATTTTGGTTTATAATTATTCTGTACTTTTACATCTCTTTTTTTTTTTTTTTTTACTGCAAAATCTGTGTAAACAGCACAACCCATTTGCAAACCATAGAGACATGTTTGAGAAATGCCAGGCATCTGCACCTATCCCTGCTTTCTATTGATCTTTACAAATAAGGTTGAAGTTTTACGTGATAACTATTATTGGTTTACTTAAGGCTGGGTTCACACCATTTCCAGGACCAGCTCTGGACCAGATCTGCACCATAGTGCATTGCGATTTTGCCGCGTTTGGATTTTTTTTTTTTTTTTTTTTTAGCATAAAATGGTCTTACAGGTGCGTTCCATGAGTTTTTGATGCGTTCCAGTGCATTCCAGACCAGGCAAAATAGGACAAGCAGTATTTTTCTGGTCTGGTCTGGAACGGACTGCGCTGGTGAGAACAGAGGCCAGACATAGCATAGGGATACATTGGGATGCATTTTGGGTCCGGGACCCTAAAGCACATCAAAACCCTAAAGCTAAAATGTAATTCATTGCAGCTTTTCGATCCTAACATTTGGTGGCTGCATTGGTTTCCTTTCTTTCCTTTTATTTTCACCTGGTGATCCAGCAAGTAACACACTTCCTATCTTAGGGCTGCTTCACCACGGAGGAGCAATAGAGCCACTCTTGGACAGCAGCATTGTTACCCAGTGGAGAGGGTACTATTAGGCGTAGATTTAGATACTCAACTTAAAGCTAAGCTCCAGCCAACTGTAAGCATTTACAGGCTTTTTTTTTTTTTTTTTTTTTTTTTTTTTTTTTTTTTTACTTTTGGGATAAAGGTTTACATAAATGAATAAAAGCTGACCATTGTAAGTACCCCTGTCAGAGTTCAGACAAACCATTAAACACTATCTGCTACTTTTGCTTGACAGCTTGGTCTGTTAAAGGAAGGTGGCAAATAACAGACTTACTGGCTGGATCACCAGGTAAAAATAAAGGGAAAGCCTAAAAAAGGAAAACTAACGCAGCTACCCCATCTAAGAATTCGTAAGCTGCAATATATTACATTTTTGCATTTGGTTTTAGATACATTTTAAGTTATTAAAATGCCAGCTTTAGGAATGATCTAGACTACTTCTACAAGCTTTATACAATCCATTTTGAAATACACAATTGTTGTAGTTTAACCCAATAACCTTTTTATTTTTCATTGTTGTTGTAGGATTCCTACAGAAAACAGGTTGTTATAGATGGAGAGACATGCCTTCTGGACATCCTGGACACAGCTGGTCAGGAGGAGTACAGTGCGATGCGGGATCAATACATGAGGACAGGAGAGGGCTTTTTATGTGTATTTGCCATCAACAATACCAAATCTTTTGAGGATATTCATCAGTACAGGTGTGTGGCTCAAGGGACCTTTTATCTGTTTGGTTTTTTTTGCATATACATTTTTATTAGAAAATTTTTTAAGAATACAATACAAGGTTGCAACTTGTTACATCCATAAAGTGAAGGTCATAAACGTGAACACATCGACATAAGCAAATAGCATAGAAGCCAGTCGCCCAGGAATGTATAATCACTTACAACTGCAAACGATGTGAAATTATCTACATAACAGAATCTGGATGTAATAGGAGGGTGTGAAATAATACAAACTATAGAGTATCAATAATAAAAACAGAGATCAAAGCCAAAACCTCAACGATCTAGCGGCACATTGAATCGGGAAATGGGTAGAGATTCCAACTAAGGAAAGAAAGAAGGATAAAATAAAAGACAGGCACAGTATGGTCTTAGAGTGTATATACTATTAGATTGTTCAAAACCGAAGATGATGTATACCCTGTGGGACAGAAAGGACATGTGAGAAGGTGTCAAAGGTCTATAGTGTAGGGGTTAAGATTTATCAGGTCCTTTTATCTGTTTTAAAGTGTATATCTGGTAAAACAAAAATGCAGTAGCTCTCTGCAATACATGCCCATTTAAAGCTGAACTCTAGGCAGATAAACGACACAAATGACTGCAGTTCTGTATTCATTACAACATCATTAAATGTATTTTTCATTAAAAGCAATGTAAGTATTTGAATGTGAAGTGGTATCATCCCCTTGCAGTCCCCATACATGGCTGCTGGAGGAAGAAGCAGGACAATTAGCAAATCGGCTATGCACCAGCATTGATGAACCTGGGCCTGGTGTGAACCCATTGTGCCCAAGCCCGCTCAAAACTGTGACCACCACCCTCTCCTTTCAGCGCGATAAGTTGCGGCAGGCATTCCCTTTCCCCGAAGGGAAGACAGGGCTTGGGACCCACTGAATTTCCTCCTATATGCTTCTAGATCTTTAAATCTATGTTAGGACATACAGTGTCCAATTCTAATTCACAACTGATGAATAAATCGGAGAATACAGACAGGGTTAATTATGGTAAACAATATATCCACATCCCCCTCAACATTACATAGTGTGAAGCTAGGTAGGATTTTTAAGCAAGTAAAAAGCCCTAAAAATGTAAGCAGCATTTTGCTATGTGAAAGGGAACATGTAACAAATATAAAATAGGTGTTGCTGCAAAAGTGAAAATATACTTTAAGATAACGCAAGAAGTGTTCACCAGACACAGTGTGACAGTCTGACAATCAGCAGGTATTTTTGCACTTATCATAGAGAATTTTACAAAACACTTTTGATGGTATATTTAAAAGGCAAAATGGTTAACATAAGTTAAAACCAGTATGTGTGTTTGCATTATTTTACACAGGGAGCAAATAAAACGGGTAAAGGATTCCGATGATGTTCCCATGGTGCTGGTGGGAAACAAGTGTGACCTTCCAGCCCGAACTGTAGAAACACGGCAAGCTCATGACTTGGCCAGGAGTTATGGCATTCCCTACATTGAAACCTCTGCCAAAACTAGACAGGTATGTGTTTATTTGATATGTTTTGTTTTTTTAGAGTGGAATTCCACTTTATAGCAGGTTTTCCAACAGTACTAAGTGTCCGGATAACTTAATAATGCTTATGTTGTTATAGAATCTGTAGAAAAAAAGCCCCCAAATTTACAGCTATAAAGTGCAGGTATAAAACACTATTCCAAGGCGTTTGGGCAGCCTAAGGGTGAATTATACAATGTGGCCCCTCATGGCACAGTTTTTCAATGCTTTATGAATGGTCACCACTGCAGAGGCTGGTTGCTCATAAGACAGACTGGGTTTTCTTTCAAATATGTAAAGACAAGACAAAGCACTGGCTTTGTTAATTATGTTTTAGCATCCATTGTAAAAAAAATATCACACGCATAACATAAGTAAACTGAAATCTTGTCAACCATGTCAGTAATTCAAGCATTCTAAAAGATCTCCAGACTGCAAACTGACAGGCACCTGTAACATAATCTACTGCCTGCAGTGAAATTGCATAAGGGTGTCAGGGACGTACTCAGCAGCGGCGTCTGGGCCCTCCTCCAGCTCAGACGTCACATCGCGACGTCGCGCTCCCGGGGCCGCCGAGCGTAGTTCCGCCCACGGACGCCGGCTCCCTCCGTAAAAGCAAGGGAGATTCAATTGCTCGGCGTTCAGTCAATGGAGACTGTACATAGAGCAATAGCTCTCCTACCCGCCTGCTGAACTGCCCGCATATCTCCGCTTACCAACCTCATACTTCACGGGAGTAAAGAAGGAAAGAGCCTGATCACCCCTGCACCTCTCCACTCAGGACTGTGGCAATAATCCTCTGCTACCAACCATCTTAAATCCGCAAGTAACAGGTTACAGGCACTGTGAATATTGTTCAGCTTGGTTGTATCGCCATCTGCTGGCACGAACTATATTACAACCTCCTATGCAATCTCCTTCCAACACTATTACACTGTACTTATGCTCTCATACCTACAGGCTACTCCATACAGTTGTACTTAGTAGAGATTGGTGCTAACCTATCCGTAATCCTCACATATGTGTGTAATATTGTGGGGACTTAATTGATTACCTTGTATGCTGGAATACACTGGTAGTTTCTTTTGTTTTTGGTGGTATATGTTTGTGGGAGCTGAGCCCCCTCACCACACCTAAGAGGGTTATAGCAGTGTCTCCAGCCTGAACCATCTCCTAATCAGAGTGGGCTGTGCCCTGAGATCCATAGTTGAACTCCATAAGCAGTGGGTGGAGTATTACAAAGGGTTGCATGTTTCCAGGGTCTCTCTGTGTCTTTTACTGCTATTTGTTTATCTGATTTTTATAGTAAAGCCCAGCAAACTGACCCAGTAGTATTGAACTTACTTTTACTATACAACAAAAGGCTACATACACAAACTACTTAGTTACAGGTAAAACAATACATACATATAAAGGCTGCTAATACATACATACACATGCATACGCTATACCCTTCTCTAACAATGTTTTCTATAGGAAGATACATTAACCCCTTCGTGACTGACGACGTACAGTGTACGTCGCCAGCACTTGGCTTTGGTTGTTGCTGATCTACAAATTCCATATTGAACAGGTCTTCATGGTGATTAAGCGTTCCAAGGGAAAATGGCTTTTTGTTATGGCTTAGTGTTCTCACTCTGTTCCAGTGAGATCCTCTGGTCAAAGTTCCTCAGTGAAATCCTCCCTATTCACCTGGGTTGCTGGCTTTCATGTAGAAAATTGGTAGCCAACTACTGTTGGTTTCGCTCTTGCATTAAATTCTATGGCAGATGCATCTCTTTCAACTCTAGATGGCAGCACAGTATCACAAATGCCATTTGTTCTCTTAAGTAAAAGTCTTAAGATAAGGCTGAATACCATGTAGTTCTGGTAAAGCTTTGTCACTTTCTTATAGTACGGAAACTTGCCAGCCCCTTCCTGCCCCCAGTAGCTTCCTAATGGCCAGCAAGGCAGCCCATTAGAGTGAAAGGCTATTAGGAATTAGGGGTGGAATTAGTGGCAAGGTGTAACACTTACGGCCCGTTCACACCGGATGCAGTGCGTTCCGGCCCGATTCTGGCCAGAACGCGCTGCCTCGCATTGCGAACGGCTCACTTTTTTGTGGGGCAGGAGGGGGCGTGACTGGCCAATGCTAATTAGATAGATAGGTGCCTCTCTGGCAGGGCAGACACCATGCTAACTCCACGTTTTAGAAAAATGAATCTTACCGTGGGGCTATCCCGCACTTCAAGGGTTAACTGCTCGTTTTTCTCTACGGGTGATAATAAAGAAATACTAATTTGATCCTCAGTCCCACTTGGCTGCTAGACCGGTCCCCACAGTCTCTTCTTCCCCGGTCTCAGTGGTCTAAGAACCCATGACGTCATCACCTCTAATACAAGTGTATTAGATGCAAAGATGCCGAGAGACATGCCGCAGAGGGGGAGAGAGGTGAGCGGTCACTTCCCTAGGACCAAGAATCAGTTGAGTATTTATTTAATTTTTCTACAACCTGGAGTTCTTCTTTAATCAAAAACCTTCCTGTTTTCATTACATACCTTTTTATTTTAGATCCTGTGATGTCATAATTTGGTCTTTGTGCAATGCAGGCAGATCATGGCTGGTGAGAGGGACCCGGCAGGGTGCTGTAAATAGCTTTCTGAAAATAATGACAGCACCTTGCCTTAGTACTCCTTAGCGCTGATGCATGCAGTGGGCTGTCTCTTAGAAGGAGGTGTGCAGGAATCAAAATGCCTTGATGGGTGGATGTCAGTCTGGAGGTTTGAGCATTCCTAGGTAGACTGCATTTGCATGCAGACTGCCCTCGGTAACTCCTGCATGGGATGCTGTGTCTGATGATTAAAGGAACTGAACCTGATAAATAATTGAGTGTCCACATATGGACACAGATACTCAACAGCTGGGACTCCTGTATCCTGCAAATACAGGCGTATTTTCCCCTGTATGCCCACACACCTGCATGTCTGTCCGTGGGAATGAGTCCTCATCCTGATAACTACTGCAGTTTAGAAACTGCCAAATGAAAATACATTTTTTAAAGTGACTGTCACATTAAAATCAATAAACAAAGCTGCTACCAGGTATAAGTGGCAGGCACCTGAAGGAGGCCCGGTCTGAGCTTTCCCACTTCTGTCCCCAACACTTTCCTGTTAGCCTATCAGAATGATTGACTGCTTCACTGGCCAACAATAATGTGTAGGATGCCAGAAGTATAGTCATGGCCAAAAATATTAGCACCCCTGCAGTTCTGTCAGATAATGTACCAATCCATGCAGAAAATTGTTGCAATTACAAATGTTTAGGCATTCTATGTTTCTTTTGTTTGTATGAAACAAAATTACAGCTTTTTGGTGCAGCCCATCATTCTACTGTTTTCAGAAAAAGAAATGAGACTTTTAAAGAACAAAATACAGTACCTACAGTGAAACATGTGGCGGTTCACTGATGTTTTGGAGTTGATTTGTTGCTTCAGGCACTGGATGTGTTGACTGTGGGCATGACATTATGAAATCTGAAGACTACCAAAGAATTGTGGGGTGCAATGTAGGGCCCAGTGTCAGAAAGTTGGGTCTCCGTCAGAGGTCGTGGGTCTTATAGCAGGACAATGACCTAAAGCACACCTCAGAAATGGTTTCAGACAAAGAGCTGGAGAGTACTGGGCTGGCAAGCAATGAGTCCAGACCGAAATCCCATACACCACCTGTGGAGAGATCTGAAAATAGCAGTTGGGAAAATGAACCCTTCCAATCGGAGACCTGGAGCAGTTGGCAAAAGAAGAGTGGTCCAAAATTCCTGTAGACAGGTGTAAAACTCATTGATGGTTACAGGAAGCGATTGATTTCAGGTATTTTTTCCAAGAGCTATTCTTCCAAATATTAATTGAGGGTGCCAATAATTTTGTCCAGTCCGCATTTGGAGTTTTGCGTGGAATGTGTCAGGTTTGGCTTTTCTTTTCTCCACTTTTTTGTGTCATACCAATACAAACAAACTAAATAAACATAAGAATGCCTAAACATTTGTAATTGTAATGGTGCATTATGTGGCAGAAATGCAGGGGTGCCAATATTTTTGGCCGTAGCTTTAGGTGGATAAGCTCGGTTATTACTAGTGTTGATGGGGCAGACCTGATACCTTTGCTGAAGAGGTATGGAGGCTGCCTTTTATTCCTTTTTTTAAACAATATACTAGTAAATACAAATAAACAAAAAGTATTTTAAAAATGGTTTCCTGGTTTATACTGCTCCAGTGGCTTAAATGTTTTCCCACTGATTGAACAATTATGCAGATCAGGAACCCTGACTTTGCACTGACTGAAGTTGCCTTGTAACAGATAAACATATTTCTTTCTTTCAGGGAGTGGAAGATGCCTTTTACACATTAGTGAGGGAGATACGACAGCATAAGTTGCGGAAGCTGAATCCTCCTGATGAAAGTGAGAAAGGATGTCTGAACTGCAAGTGTGTTGTATCCTGACCATGGTAAGTAGAGTTACAGCCTATCTAGGTCAAATATTTTCCAGAAATAAATCTGCAATCTTAAAGAATAGTCGCATGTTCTTCACACTTTAGTAATTTCCATAGTAGCATATCACTTGGCACTTGCTAGACTTAAAAATCCGCCCAAAGGTCTCCATTGATTCCCTCGAAGGGGAAAGTATAATGTAAATTTGGTAAGCACATATTTTGAGATTTATTTTATGTTAATGTATTAAAAGAAAACTATTAGGCAGGGAGAGTTGGAGATACCTGGGCAGATTGGGGTATGGAGTCAAAGAGGAAGGGAGAGGTCCTATGGGAGAAGATGGCAAGAGATGACGAGAGCTGCAGAGCAGGAGGTATTGGGAGGGCGGTTTGGATTATATTTTGAGAGTTTGCAATGAACAATACAGCTGGGGGCAGAGCTGTGGGTGGCTTTGTGTCATGATGTTAGTATTTTGAATTTTTGTTGGGTAAGTGGAAGCCATTGGAGGTAAGGGGTGAATGTTATGGAGGTTAAGTTGTCAGGATTTGGACAGTGATTGAATGTGGGGTCAAAAGCAGAGGTCTAAGTCCAGGATTACATCTGGCCTGAGTGGAGGGACTCATAGTTGTGCTATCGACCATCATAGAGAAGTTGGGGAGGGAACACGGTGGGGAAGGACATTTTTTAGCTCCATTTTGGAAAGACTGAGTTTGATGAAGTTGTGTGACATCCATACTGATATGTCAGTAAGTAAATAGTTTATGCTTGTGGTGACACAGTGGGTGAGGAGTAGAAAGATAGATTTGGGATGTCTTCAGCACAAAACTGGTATTGGGAAGCCATGGGAGGTTGTCAAAATGCTTTGGTAGGAGGTTTAGAGTATAGAAGAGGCCTGAAGACGGAGCCTTGAAGGACCCCTACAGAAAGAGAAGGAGATGGAGCTCTAGGTGACACCAAAGGTGTGCTGAGATAGGGAGGAGGAGAACCAGGAAAGAGCAGTCTTGAAGGCAACAGGACTGGAGTTTTTTTATTTTGAGGAGGAGCTAGCGGTCAGCTGCATCAATAGCGGAAAGCAAGTGGCCATTGGTTTGCAATATTGTCTATTTAATGGACTAAAAGAAAGTCCTGAATATAGTTAAAAAAAAATTAAGTTCAAAACCATTATATATTTCTTTAAATATGCAGTTTTATTTTTTTGATTAGCGACTAGAGGAAGTTCACAGCAATCTCTCATCCTCCCTGTCTGTGTCCCCATTGGGGAAAGTCTCACTCTCTTTGTCAAAATGACCATTGTCATAAGGACAGAAAAGGATGGGAAATCCAAAATTCTGAGTTGTCATTGGAAGAGAAATATGGGGGGAAGTCTTTCAGTGGGGAAACTTGTTAATGTGACAACTGTTTTAAAATGTTTCCCTTGCTACCTGTTGTCTACTAATATATTTTCTACTGGATATTTATATTGTGAGACCCAATACAAATCCGTGGATGTAATCTACAAATGTGGCTGCGGACCTGTAGAAAATATATTACAAACCATATTAATTAAAGCAAGGTTTTTAGAATCTCATACTGGAAAAATAATTTGAATACAGCTGAAATCACCTTGAGTGCAAACTGTATGTCAATGTTTCCAGTCAGAATTGTTCTTTTCCACTCCCCATCCCACCTCCTAAAGCTCCCTACTGGTCAGTGAGGCCAATTATCTCATTAAAGTGCCAATAGAAAGACCCAGGAAGGCGTAGGGCCAAGCGTGAATTTTATTAAAGGAGAACTATGAGATGAGTGATTTCCACTCACCTCATAGTTCTAGCCGACCTGTGACAATGAGACTGTCACAGGTCGGCTCAGTAAATCGGGAGGTGAGCGAACACATACCGGGTTCCCTCACCTCTCGATCCTGTCACGGCTCTCTGCCGTGACAGGGGGAGGGGCTGGATTCCCCTCTCCGATCTGCCAGCGCTGACTGGCGTAACGGACGGGGGAGGGGGGCAGGTACAGCTGGCTCTGCCTCTAGATAGGCAGAGCCAGCTCTCACTCACGCAGCTGGGCGGATCTCGACGTCCATGTCGGGATCCGCTCCGGCGTCTCAGTATATACTGAGCTTAGGGTAACGGGAGGACGCTAGTTTGTGTCTTCCCATTACCCTAAGGAGAACTATGGGGAAAAACACTGACCCCATAGTTCTCCTTTTTAAGGAAAAAAGTTGAGAATTCCATTTAGATTCGGCTGCCTATATCTTTGGTTCTAGCAGCCATTTTAAAATTAAGTTTATTCTGATGGTGACCTCGGCTTATCAATGTTAACTTATGGTACGTTTGTTTTTCCCAAGTTTGTATTATTATTTACATCATTCATACATAAGGAGAGGTGCAGTCCCTGGACTTTTTAGATCCGTATCAAAATAAATCTCTTGGGGTTTACCTTGGAGAGAAGTTCTAAATGACACCCCTGTTTGAATGCAGTTTTTGTGTGATAAGTTGTATGGTTTTCATATAAATAATACACTTTTTTTCTTTCTTTTTTTTTTAACAGGATGACAGGTCAAAGTTTGACCTGACAGTGTTCCCTTGTTCCTCCAGCCAAGTGCTAAAAAAACCCAGGTGGATAAGCATTAGAAGAGACTAGAACACACTACACCTTTTTGTGGAGAAACGGCTCTACAGATATGAAAATGATTAACCTGGGAATCGTATTATAATATCCAGTATTATATTATCTTCTGGATATCTGAGTGTACACCACGGGTAGTATTATGCCAGTGAAAGGGTAATGGCATGACAGTTGTTGGCAACCCGGTGGTTCTAGTGCCATTTGAACCTAATGGATGAGCTAAATGTTTGTCCCATTGAAATAATTTTTCTTGTTTGTTTTTTGTTGTTTTTTTTGCATTTTAAATTGTGATCTCTGCTTAGTTATCAGCTATTCAAAAATTACAAACAAAATGGGATTTTCCAGTTCAGACTTGTCCCATCACCTAGTTCCTGCATTGTTTAAAACACTGGACATTTTCCAGTGTTGAAAGCCAGCCAGTCACACTACAGCAGACCCATTATTATCTTTTATGTGATTCACACCTTTTTTAAGTGATCTGCTTGTTTTGTTTTTTTTTGCATGTCAATTTTTACTGTAGTTTAAATACAGTACAATTAACAGGTATCCACGGTGTACATTGTATAGACACTTGTACGAAAAGAAAAAGATTTGTGGAAACATCCACCGTCATATGTCAACAGTGCACATTACTGCAATTATTAGAGATACCGTCACAGAATGAGGTAGACAAGAAATATAAACTTCAAAACTTAACCATAGCCAGAGTGACAGTTGTTAATGACAGTTTGAATAGCCTTAATAACATAACATCCATGGAGTGTATCAAAAAGAGTAGTTGTTGGGTATTAGGAGAGCGTGTCAGAGTTGCTATCTCAAGTTATTGAGCTAAATTAAAGAGAAAGAGGGAATGGGGAAAGTATAATCATGGGTATGAATGAATGAGAAGTAATGTATAAGGGGCTGCTAAAGGACATCTAGATCGCCAAGCGTGTTAGAGAGTTTGGCAGTGAGGAACCACGTGGAGTACTGGAAAATAATAATTATGTCACGCAATTGCTCTGTAGATAATTCAGAGATCAAATAGGCAGACCAGGTATCGAAGAATTTTTTGGTGCATTGCATATTGAATTTAGTTTCCAATTTGTCGAGCAACATGAGCCGATGCAGCACCGACTTAAATCTAAGTAGTGATGTTGGGGCGGATGATAACCAATCTATCAGGATGGCTTTTTTGGTGCTTATGATACAGATGTGTTCCCATCTTGTTAGTGTTGATGTTGATGATGTGGCAGGCTGATCTGGGGCTGGGCAATGGAAGAGGCAAATATCTGGTGAAGGAGTTCTGTTATGCCCAGAATGCACATTCATATAGGAGATAACCTCCCCCCACAAGGATTGTACATAAGGGCACAACCAAATGAGGTGAGTTAAGTCCGGCAATGGAACCTGGCATTTCGGGCATGCAATCAACCATTCCGGGGGTCTGTGTCCTGTGATAATATTAAAACCATAATAGGCCCGATGTATCAGTTTAAATTGGATTTCCCTCCACGCTTCACATACCACTGCCCGTCTTAATTGCATCCAACCTGTCAAAATGACCGATTGGGCAGATTCCGGTGATATTTGCAGAAGAGCTGACCATTTTAAGGCATATGGAGGGGTGGACGTTGTGACAGAGGATACACCGTAGATCTGCTTGTTTTTAAGCCTGCTGGGCAGTGTGTGTCCTGTGAAAGACATAGTGCAGACATTGAAAATGTTAAAATAATTGTGATAAGGAGTTTAAACATGCATTCTGGGCATTTTTCTTTAACAACATGGCTAAAGTTTAATGTGGTCAATAGTCAGCTAATCAGTTTGGATTAATTTTTGGCTAAACTGTTAAAGGTTCGCTTACTTTTAGATTATATCAACAGAGATGTAAATTATTTACACACTGCAAATGTAACCCCTCACAGTACATGAGTTCTTTACAGATGTCCCCCATGGTGGAAGGTTGTTAAAGGTCATGCTCACAAAAAGTCTGCTACATGAACTCCGCCTATTGCCGTCTGTCTTCTTGTCTTTCTTCTTGGTTTGTAGAATTAAAAGAAAAATTGTGGTTAATTAAAATTAAAGCTGAACTCCAGACAGATCGAAAACACAATGTATTATTGTTATGTATTAAAATATTGATACCTGGAAGCTTTACCAAAAAAAAGGCAGGCAGAGGGCAAAGGACTAGTCATCTCTATTGCCTGTGGTCACCCTGCTGACCTAAATACTTGTGTCTGTGTGAAGTTGGCTATCTTGATAGAGGTAGGCTTTTCTTCCTCATGTCAGAGCCTTGAGCTTGGAGAACTTTGAGCAGCACAGTAGTGACATCACCAAATCTTGCTCAACGTCTCCCGAGACTAGCAGTCAGGAGCAGCAGTGCTTTATTCTTACACTACAGATTATACAGCTATGAGGCTGTAAGCATAGGAGTGCCTAGGCATACTCACATTCCAGAAAGTGCACTACTTTTTTTTCAGGATGAATTTAAGATAAAATGTATGTTTTATACTATAATGCTTGGGCACAATTATCGTTTCTAAATGTTCCATATAACATGGCAAACCTCAACATTTTGAGTTCAGTTCCACATTAAAAGTATTTTAAGTGTCTTGATATCAGCCTCCAGTAATTCTCTGCATTCCAGTACTCAGACTAGGAGAGAGAAGGCAGTATTTGAGCAAATTGTGGCTCTGCTGCATTGTACAAGAGTGACCACATGAATGATCTTTGCTCAGTGTGGTTCTACACCTTCTTTGTCCAGTCACAAGCTTGGGCAGGTCCCAAATTGGGATAACCACTATTTTTATATGGGTTACATGTTCCCATACATAAGCTTAAAAAAAAACACAAAAAAATGCTTCTTGCAGTTTAAATTGCTTCTACAACCCCAATGCTAAAAAAGTTGGGGCGCTGTGTAGAATCGACATAAAAACAGAATGCAATGATTTGCAAATCTCATAAACCCATATTTAATTTACAATAGAAAACATCAAATCTTTAAACTGAGAAAATGGACCATTTTATGAAAAAAAAGGTAATTTTGAAATTGATGGCAGCAACACGTCTCAAAAAAGTTGGGGCAGGGCCATGTTTACCACGGTGTAGCATCCACTCTTCTTTTAATACTCTGTAAACGTCTGGGAACTGAGGAGACCAGTAGCTGGAGTTTTGGGAGCTGAATGTCGTCTCATTCTTACCCAATATAGCATTCTAACTGCTCAGCAGTCTTGAGTCTTTGTTGTATTTTTCGTTTGAAGATACCCCAAATATTTTCACTTGGTGAAAGGTCTGGACTGCAGGCAGGCCAGTTAAGCACCCGGACTCTTCTACTACAAAGCCATGCTGTCGTCATAGATGCAGTATGTGGTTTAGCATTTTCCTGCTGAAATGCAGGCAAGGCCTTCCCTGAAAAAGACGTCATCTAGATGGGAACATATGGTGCTCTAAAACCTGGATATATCTTTCATCATTGATGGTACCTTTCCAGATGTGCAAGCTGCCCATTCCATATGTACCATTTCACCCATGTGCCATCACAGATGCAGGCTTTTGAACGGACCACTGATAAGACAAAAGGTACCTCTTCTCTTAAGTTTGGAGGATGCGGAGCCCATGGTTACCAAAAAATTTCAATTTTCGATTCGTCTGACCACAGAACAGTTTTCCACTTGGTGACAGACCATTTTAAATGAGCTTTGGCCCAGAGAAGAGGGCAGCATTTCTGGATCATGTTCAGATCTGGCTTCTTTGCATGATGGAGCTTTAACTTGCATTCTTGGATGGACTGTGTTTACAGATCCTGATATTTGGAAGTATTCCTGGCCTCATGCAGTGATGTCCATCACAGAATCATGCCTGTTTTAATGCAGTTGTCAGGGCATGAGTAGATATCAGGTAATCAGTTCACAAGTGCCAATAGTGTAAAGCAGGGGTGCCCATTGGGTAGATCGTGATCTACCAGTAGCTCTCAAAGCTGATGCTGGTAGATCACGAAGGTTGTGAATGATGGCCCCTTTATTCCATTTTGGTATATTTATTTAGCTGTGCGCACATGATTTCCTATTAGCCTGAGTCTGCTGAGCCAAGCTCCCTGACACCTTTCTGGTGGATTCTAGTGGTTGAAGTGCTATGTATTAGATCAAAGAATATTAGTTTACACAGCCTGTTGCAAAATACAGCAAGGTGAGCCAGGAGAGAGAGAGAGAGGAGAGACAGCCAAGAGAGCAAAGAGAGACCGCGAGGAGAAAAAATGAGAGACAGCCAGGAGAGCGAGGAGAGACAGCCAGGAGAGCGAGGATAGACGGCCAGGAGGATGAGCAAGGAGAGACAGCCAAGGAGAGCGAGGAATGACAGCCAGGAGAGCGAGGAGAGACGGCCAGGAGGGTGAGCAAGGAGAGCGAGGAGAGACAGCCGGGAGAGTGAGGGAGTTTTTTTTTCCCGTTGGTAGATCTCATGTAGCTTGTCATTTGAAAAGTAGATCTTAACACAAAAATTGTGGGCACCCCTGGTGTAAAGAGTTCAGTGATAAGAGCACATACCATGAGCAGGTCTGTAAGCAAAGCAGGCAGGCTTGTACTTGTGGTGCACCACTGCAGATGGTGATGGAAGCTGGCTGGTACTTGTGATGCACACCAGCAGATAGTGATGGAGGCTGCCTGGTACTTGTGGTGCACCGCTGCAGATATAACAGGAGCATTTAAGGACAACCTAGTTGTGATGATGAAGCAGGTAATACAGTAGGATAAGGCAAAAGCGTAGTCTTGACAAGCCGGGTCACACACGTGTAGATCAGAGTTCAAGCGGTACCGAATCTGCAAATGAGGAAGAACAGAGTCCGAACAATCCAGGTCATACACAAGTAGATCAGAGTTCAGATATCAGCTGGGTCAAGCAGAAGCACACTAGGTAACAACGCTATCACAAGCACTGATGGTGTACTGATACAAGTGATTTAAAGGTCATTACTGTTGCTTCCCAGGCAAGGGCTGTCTTGGATGAGCTTTGCTGAGTCTTAAAAGGACAGCCTAAATCCTAGTATTGACAGCAGGGCTGTTTGAGGACATCCAGTATTGTGTTTCGGCCATGTCCCTTGTGCACAGAGATCTCTCCAGATTCTCTGAATCTTTTGACAATATTATGTACAGCAGATGATAATATATTTAAAGTCTTTGCAAATTTAAGTTGAGGAACATTTTTAGATGCCTGGAGAGCTAAACAATAAGTGGCAAAGGGCTGCAAGTGGCCCTT